CTCCTAAATGCACATGAATCTAATGAGAAACCAGCAGAATACTAAAATGACTGCTCATAGAGTTGAAGAAAGACACTGAAAGTAACACACTAATAATTGGAGATTTCAACATCACTTTATCACACTTTATCACTCCATGATAGGTCAACCAGACTCAAGCTCAGAAAGGACATACAAGAAATAGAATACAGGGGTTTAGCAAATATATACATATATATAATATATAACATATATATATATATATATATATATATATAGACATTCTTCTCAAGTGCACATGGGGACCACATGCTGGGCCACAAAACATACCTCCATAAAACTAAATGGATAGAAATTGTTTCAAAGATCTTTTCAGACCATGATACCCTGAATAAAATTAAGTGAATCACACACAAAAACAAAATTTCAAATAAACACGTGGAAATTTAACAGCTCACTACTGAATAATCAGTGGCTTAGAGAGGAAATCAAAGAGGAAATCAAAAATTCCTGGGAACAAATGAGAATGAAGACATGAGTTACCAGAATTTATGAGACACAGCAAAAGCAGTGTTAAGAGATAATAGTTTTTAGCTCTACAAGCATTCCCCAGGATGGAAGAGTGAGCCCACACAAATAACAACCTCATAGTTTATAATCTTGGAGAATGACCAATAAAGGAACTCAACACAGGCAGGAGAAAGGAAATAATAACAGTTAGAGCAGACATTAATAATATGGATACCTAAAAAACAATCTGAAAGATCAATGAAATCAAGAGCTGTTTTTTTGACACAATAAACGATCAATAAATCACAAACAAGACTGAAACGGAAAGAGAAAGACAGAGACCCCTAATAAACAGAATCAGAAATGAAAATGGGGACATCATAACAGAATCCACAGAAATTCAAAGGATCATCAGAATTTTGAGAAGCTTTATGTAAGGAACATGAAAGCCTCGAAGAAATGGATAAATTACTGGACTCCTATAATTTCTCAGAGCTGACCCATGAAGACTTGGAATACCTGGACAGATCTATCACTATCAAAGAAATTGAGATATTAATCAACACTCTCCCCCAAAAAACAAAAGCCCTGACACAGATGGATTCACTAGTGAATTCTTTCAAATTTTTAAACAGGACCTACTCCCAATCCTGTTCAAGTTTTTCCAAGAAATTGAATAAACAGAGACACTTACAAATAGTATCTATGAGGCAAATATCACCCTCATGCCAAAAGCAGACACACACACACACACACACACATACACACACACACACACACACACACAAGAATTACAGGCCAATATCCCTGATGGATACAGATGCAAAGATCCTCAACAAAATACAAGCAAATAGAATCCAAGGACTCATCAAAAAGATCACACACCATGACTAAGTAGGATTAATCCCGGGGATACAAGGATGGTTTAGCATTCATTTGCAAGTCAGTCAACATAATACATCATATCAATAAAAGAAAAGATAAAACCATATGATCATATCAACAGATGCAGAGAAGGCGTTTGACAAGATCCAGCACCCATTTATGATATAAACTCTCAGCAAAATGGGAGTTGAAGGAACTTTCCTTCAATATAGTCAAAGACATCTACCAAAAGCCCACAGCAAGCATTATTCTCAATGGGAAAAAACTAAGAGCCTTCCCTCTAAGATTGGGAACAGGCAAGGTTGCCCACTCTAACCACTTCTATTCAATATAGTACTGGAAGTACTTGCCATAATAGTTAGGCAAGAAAAAGATATCAAGGGCATTCAGATAGGAAAGGAAGAAGTCAAGCTATCACTATTCGGAGATGACATAATACTATATTTAAAAAATCCTAAAGACTACAGAAAAGCTTCTAGAAACAATAGGTTGGTATAGTAAAGTGGTAGGTTACAAAATCAATACCCCAAATTCCATGGCCTTCCTATATACAAATAATGAAAGAGAAAAATCTCATTCAAAATAGTGCCTCAGAAAATCAAGTACCTTGGAATCAGCTTAAATAAAGAAGTGAAGGACCTGTAAAAAGAAAACTACAAAACACTACTTCAAGAAATAAAAGAGGACACTAGGAAATGGAGACACATCCCCTGCTCATGAATTGGGAGGATTAACATTGACAATACTCCCCAAAACATTATACAGATTCAATGCAGTTCCTATAATGATACCCATGACATTTTTTAAAGGAATATACAAAACACTTATGAAATTCATATGGAGCAATAACCCCTCACAAATAGCTAAAGCTATTCTTGGGAAAAAGATGGGTGGCATCATCTTCCCCAATTTCAAACTGTAGTAATTAAAAATCAGTAGTAACTAAAACAGCATAGTAGTAGAATAGAAACAGAAACACAGACCAATGGAACAGAGTTGAGTATTCTGACACAGCCTCTCAAGTATATGATCACATAATCTTTGATAAAGGAGCAAGAAATGTGAAGTGGAACAAGGAAAGCCTCTTCAACTAGCGGTGCTGGGAAAACTGGACAGCTAAATGGAAAAAATGAACTCAGACCTCTATATAATGCCAAGCACAAAAGTCAGACCAAAATGAATTAAAGACCTCAATATCAGACGAATCTATAAGCTACATATGGAGGGAAATGTGGGCAGAACCCTCCATGATACTGAAGCTAAAGTCATCTTCAAGGACGAAAAACTACTGACCAAGCAAGTGGAAACAAATATAAACAAATGAGACTACATTAAAATAAGAAGCTTCTGCACCTCAAAAGAAACAATGACCAAGAGAAACAGTGAGCCCACGAAATGGGAAAAATTATTTACCGAATATCTATTAATAGGGGTAAACTATCCAGGATATACAAGACATTGATAAAAATTTACAAGAAAAAAATCCTCTAACCCCACCAAAAATGGGGAGAAGAAATAACAGAAACTTCCTCAAAAAAGAAATTCAAATTTCAGAAGGGCACATGAATAAATGCAGACATCCCTAATAATCAGGGCGATGCATATGAAAGCAACAATGAGATATTATCTTACACCACAGAAACTGGCATACGTAATAAAGAACAAGAACCGCGAGTGCAGGCATGGATATGGGGAGAAAGGGACTCTCATTCACTGTTGGTGGGAATGTTGACTGGTACAGCTTTTATGGCAAACAATATGGATATTCCTCCAAAAACTAGAAATTGAGCTCCCATATTACCAAACAATATCACCTCTGGGAACATATCCCTGAGATTTAAAAAAAAAAAACAGTAGAAATGACATCTGCACTTGTATGTATATTGCAGCATTGTTAACAATAGCCAAAATCTGGAAAAAACTTGAGTGCCCAAGTACAGATGACTGGTTAAAGAAACTTTTGTACATCTACATAATGGAATGCTATGCAGCTATTAGAAAAGATGAAATCATGAACGTTGCATATAAGTGGATAGACATGGAAAGTATCATGTTATATGAGATGAGTCAGAAAGAGAGGGACAGACATAGAATGACTGCACTCATTTGTGGAATATGAAGTAACATAGTATGAGACTAACACCCGAAAACAGTAGAGATAAGGCCCAGGAGGATCGCTCCATGATTTGGAAGTTGGCCTCATGTGCTGGGGGAAAAGGCAGTTGGGATGGAGAAGGGATCACAAAGTCAATGATAGTTGGAGGGATCGTTTGGGACAGCAGATTGTGCTGAAAGTAGACTAAGGATATAACATGATGGTCTCTTAGTATCTGTATTGCAAACAATAATACCCCAAAGTAAAGAGAGAATAAGAAGAAAATTACTTGCCACAGAGGCAGGGGTGATGGGGTGGGGGTGGCGAGACAGATACTGGGAACACTGATGGTGAACAATGTGCACTGGTGGAGAGATGGGTGCTTGATCATTGTATAACTGAAACTTAATTATGAAAGTCTGTAACTGTATCTCATGGTAATTCAGTAGAAAAAAAGTCACAGCAGAGCCTGAGTGATCATACATAAAGCTTCTGTGTGGATGGGGGTATGGTGCTGCCAGCAGGTCAATCTGTACCTGTGAGGCGAGTGCATCAGCAGCCTGATGGCGCCTTCAGACTTCCAGATACACCAAAATTGCCGCTGTGCCTTTGGCCAGACCCCAAAAACTTGGGGCAAAGTTTACCAAGAAAGTAAACAGCCAAAAGTTAGGTATGTGGGAGACACACCCACAAACCACCTCCGGCTCAGCAATATAACTGGAGGCAAGGCCTCTCTGGTTCCTGTTCGAAATGCTTAATGGCCATGATCCCAGAGACTCAGAAACAAATCTCAAAACCCAAGGGCTTTTGGGAGAACTGTGTCCGGTCCCTGCAGTAGGCTACCGGCACCTGGCCACCCCAGGTGGGAATAGGTTTCGTGCCTTGGCCTGTTCCCCCTGGCGGCCCGGTGGCCGCCATCCTCCAGAGGCAACTGGACAGTCAGGCTTTGGCCCACAGTCATGAGTCATGTGGGTCCTCACAGGATGGGGGTGAAGGCAAGTGGAAAGTAAAACTGTGAATGGGATGAAAATAGTACATGTAATTTTTAAAAATATTTTTTAATTAAAAACACTTTTAAATTAGTTATAATTTCACTTTTGGGTCAAAGTCCTTCTAGAACCATTTCACAATCATTTTAGAATTAAGATACATTGACTATTTATCATTAACTGAATGTGGGGTTTATTTAAATTTCCACAACAAACTCACAAGGGAAAGTGCTCTTGATTCTGTTCTACAATGAAACTGGAGACTAAAGAAGAGCAGCATTTGGTTGAGCAGAGAGCAAGCCCCAGGAGAATCCCAAGAACCCGGTTGCAAATGTGGTGCTTGAGGCTATGGGAGTGTTCCCCATGCTTATTATCAAATACCAGTAATAGCTACTCAAGCTCTTATGATAATGTAGTGAGAACAAGTGAAGCTGGCTGACAACTTGCTAGCTTTATGGTATTCTGCTGACACCAAAATTACCTTACCTTTGAAAGGTAATTTTAGAGAGCAGTTGGAAGATAAAATATTATGAAGTAAAGCCTTTGCATATGTCTCCTTGTCTTTATTTTATCAATTACATTCAAAATTCAAAATCTTAGTTACTTAATAGATTTCCAATAGTCGCAAAGATGTACCAAAACAAGTATAAAGACATTTGTGAAATTTACCATTAATAACATACCATTGCTATTTCAATAACAAAAAAAAAACCCAACATTAGTCAGTAAATTGTATCTTCTAAAATTTTTATTATCACTATCAAGTTATAATCTGGCAGTACGGATCAAAATGGCATTAAATGTTTATCCACTGACTCTGCTTCATTCCTGTTGGGTTTCCACTTCTCGCGGGAGCTTCATAAGAATCCAGGACTTCAGTTTTTCTAGTTCAGCTCTGTTCAGCTCATGGAAAACCCCTGGGAAACTATGAAACTTGGTGCTCACCCCCAGAGATTTTAACATTGAGTTTGTCTCTTCTCCCCAAGAATGAAGTACTAGTTCATCTGCAGTACCATGGCACTGAAATAATTCAGGAAGGGTGCCTTCTGTCTTCTGAAGATCCTAGAGAAGGTACAAAAATGAAAAAGCTAAAGAAATTTACTCAAGAACATTATCCTGGAAAGGAGAGAGCACAGAAAAACACTACTTTTATCTATTTTAAATATTTAGAGAAAAGGAAGTTCTCCTTTAGCGCAAGGGCTGATCTGGATGGTGGCAACACCTGGGGCTGCTCAATGAGACCAACATTTACTACAATGGTCTTGAAATGGTCAGAGACTTTCCTGAAGAAAGTATGGGGCATAAGAGGAAAAACCTCTTCATGAGGAGTGAAGAAGGGAGACAAGGTGCTATAGTCTAAGGAAATTTTTCATTCCAGTTCTTGCTTAAAGTTTTGCTGATCCTATTGCTGGTAATGAGATAGAACACTATAATGTTTGCAAACTGGGATATTACTACAAAGTACATGTTAGCAATAAAATTGTTGTGATTATTTCCACGACATAATAAGAAAACCAAGCTCTGACCCACCTATATTTTGAAAATATATCAAGGGCACATATAATATATAGATTTCATATACTATACATTCTATCATTTCCCCTTTGGCATTTTTGTGATGATATTCTTTCCAAGGCAATTCCTTGACATTACTGACCACTTACTCAATAGGACTACTTTGGTCATAAATTTCCAGAAATGGTCAATGTATCAGTTGTTATTGTCCAACTACCAATGTGATTGTAACCAATGTGACTGTCAGTTTTCATAAAAAAAAAAAAATCATGTTTTTTTTTTCTATTATTCAAACTGGAACTCACCTGGTAAACAGCAGATGCTTTATTCAAAAAACTAGAAAGAGCAAATACTCCTGCCACATCTTGATGGTTTCTATAGGCTAGATGCATTGCCATACATCCTCCCATTGAAAATCCTCCTAAAAGAAGCAAAAATACACTTACCAAAAACCTGAATATATGCCACAAAAATTTAGAACAAGATATTTATGCCAGATCTTCCATAAATACTTTTAAATAGTTAGAAATCTTGAAAGAGAAAGAGTGGGAAAGAGAAACGTAGTGTACTTTAGATCTGATAGGGCACGGTCTGCTGTGAATAAGAGATGCTGTTCTGTTATTGCTGGAAAAGGAGTTTTCATAAAAGGAGATATTCTAGAAAAGAGAGACTATGATCACTGAATTCATAATTTAAAATATAAACCACAGTGCAAGGCTTGTTTATTAGCACTTCTAATATCTAATATATATATATATATATATATACACACAGCCCACTCATATATGATATTTTATCACTGCACCATCCACCAGCGTCAATGTCTCTCCACCCGTGTTTTTATTTTTGTTCTGTTTGGAGGCCACAGCCGACCTGGCTCTGCACTCAGGAATTACTCCTGGAGGTGCTCAGGGGATCATATGGGATGCAAGGAATCAAACCTGGATCAACCACATACATGCAAGACAAATGCACTGCCCACTGTGCATCACTCTGCTCCCTGAGAAGATTCAGTTCTACAGGTCAGATTTGAGAGTCTGTTGCCATTGTTACATTGTTACAGTTGTTACATGCTATACTTCTTCATAGTCTACATATGAGAAATCATTCTGTATTTATATCTGTGACTCTCCCTGACTTCTTTCAGCATGATACCCTATAGATCCATCTCACCATGACGCCCAGTGAATCTCTAGTAGAATAAGGTCAAATTTTATTACATGTAGCACTGTAGCACGGTCCTCCTGTTGTTCCTTGATTTGCTCAAGCGGGCCCACTAATGTCTCCATTGTGAGACTTGTTGTTACTGTGTTTGGCATATCGAATACGTCACTGGGAGCTTGCCAGGCTTTGCTGTGTGCCTGAGATACTCTCTGCAGCTTGCGGGGCTCTCCAGAGAGGGTGGAGGAATTGAACTCCAGTCGGCTGGGTTGGCCGCGTGCAAGGCAAAAGCCCTACCTGCTCCAGCCTAATGTAAAACCCAATATTGGACTTTTTACCTACAGGTTCTTCTGCTATGGACTGTATTAAAAGCTCGGGATACTGAAACTTTACAGTAATCAGAACACGGATCCTGAGAATGGAGATTTTTGTCTATTATTCATGGATGAAACGTCCTCGTTTAGAAGCTTAAGTATATGGTAGGTGTTTAAAATATAAAAGTCAAACGCAGTTCCAAAAGGATATATCTGGAAGAAGACACATTATTATGGATTCCAACTCACAGAATTTTTTGTGGTCTGACTTAGAGCTTAGAATATCTAAGATTTGATGACTAGTTTGTTCCCTGCTAATGACTTCTAAATCTGGCTTCTTAAAAAGTAAAAATCCTGGAGTTAGTTCCAGACCCACTAACAAAATCTCAAAGCCAACAAATGCCCATTTTTAAATATTCTTATACCCACAAACAGTGTAGGAATCACACCTTAGAAAAGTATCAATAGCTGCAAAGCAGACAATTCAAAATTAAGTGTAATGAATAAAAACAGAAAGTGAAATGTGGCCATGATTTAAAAGATATCCATATGTCATGAATACCAAAATGGCATGAAAAACGTTTTTGTTTTTGGGAAAAATTCAAGAGCTTGAATTATATTTCTTTAACAAAATATACCTAAGGAACATATTAAATGAAACTAGCATGACTGAGGAACTAAATGTTCACTTTTATTTAATTTTAACAGTTTATGTTTAGTCAAATTGTGGCTTATGGTTATCTTATTGGACAATGACGTTCTAAGTAATCTAAGGTATTTCAACTGTAGAGAAATTCAAAATTCATAAATGGGACAAAAATAAGACATATAATTTTAAAAGACTGAAATAATTAAAAATCATATTTGAATGTAATAAATTTTTAAAAACACCACAAGAAAAAGTGAACGATAATATATTAGTAAACAAAAATATATTAACAGATAAATTTAAAAGTATATTTTAAAAATTTTGTTGACAAAAATAGCCAGTCATTTCATCTGGTTTAAGTCTTCATGATGAGACAAGTATAACAACCACAAAAATTTATGAAAGAAAACACTTGCCCACATAGGAAATGTCATTATGGGCAAACATAAATGCATATGCAGACATTTAACTTCATGTTCAATTCACATAATTTACAGTGAAGAAAAATGTGCTCACTGAAATCTTATTATAGAAAGATTTAATCTAAGTCTATGACCCCTTTATAATCTTGTGAGGTAATCTGCAATTTCTCATCAGCCATCTTTGACAATACAATCACTTTTCAAGTCAGAAACTACTGTGAAAAGGGACTTTGTGTATTTTTTTAAAAAAGAAGAAAATTTAACACAAAGGACTAGTTATTTGAATTCAATTTCCAACTAAGTGTCTAAAATGCAATATAAAATATACTGTTGAATAAGTGGATACCAAATAGTAAACTCATTGTAGGTAATGGTTATAATGTATATTTATAGTTGCTGGCAAAGTATAAAAATGTCAAGAGTTAAGATTTCAACATACATTTAAGATTAACAAGCTGAATAAAACATGTTAAAAAATAATAAACCTAGCTTTTATGAACTCTTTAAGCAAAACAAAACAGTAACAATGTATAATGGACTACACTGGGAAAACTAGGCTAATCTATCTAAGAACAAAATTCAGAGGAAAAAAATACTTATAATTATAAATTGAATGGGATTTTAAAAATGCAATAAAATCCACCCTCTTACCAATTTTAGCAATTCTTCCATTTATTATGTTTATTGTAATTATTCTTCAAACTGAACTGTGAAAAAAATGATTTGGGAATATATAAACTGTGCCCATAATATTGATTTGTATATTTTCTTTCATACAAAATTTATAGGATAAATAAAATTTTATTACTTTCTATTAAAAGCTATTAGAACGGCAAGCCCATGTCTTTAAAGTGTTGGTAATTGTTGTCAAAGAAACATCAGAGGTTTAAAGACATATTTATGATAAAGCAAGGAAGAAGGATATCACTCTTAAGTTTTAGCTCTGGAAGAGCTACAGAAGGGAGAGCTTTAGAAGAAGCTGATATCATCAGGTTGTCTGCACAAGAAACAGAAATCTTGGAGCTAGGCATGTGTCTTCCTAGGAGTCACTATAGTCTCTTCATCTTCATCTTCTCTAAAAATTAATGCACTAATAGATGACCACTTTGTCAAGTGTTTCTACCATGCTGTAAGTCACAATTTTGACATATTTTTAAAAATTCACTTTCATAGCTACTCATTCTACATGTATAATATAATTTAGACTCTTCCCACAGAATAGTGATTTCAAAGTCTTTCAACAGAGCGAAAACACCTTAATTATTTTCAATTCACTGAGCACATGATAATTTACACTTATGTACACACACACAGTATTTAATGGTCACATAATGTTAAACTGTATTAATAGGCCCTAATTTCCTACATTGTTTAGAGTTTCATGAAAATCTCACAGATGCACTTGATTACAGTGCTTTAAAATTCGATTATCATCAAAATCATTCTATTCTGGTCCTATAGTAGTCAAGGTCTATAGATTCTAGATTCAAGTTAAATCTAAATTACATAATTTTAACAAATTATCACCACCTAGTGGACAAAAAAGAATCTCATCATAAAACGATTAAGTCAATGGATCTGGATTCTAGTCCCAACTCCTATTTTTATAATTGCCAGCAGTATTTTTTAATCATTTCTTCTTAACACCCTAAGAAACTGCTCCCATTAAACCTATTACAAGGCTCTGGATAAATAAATAATTCTTGTGAAAACAACTCTACATATATTAAATGTAAAACACAATGATATGAAGACTCTCCCTATGAATGTCCTCAACTTCAGCAGCATCTTTATCATACATATCTGTTAAGCTTAAAGTACCTACAGGAAAAACAAAATACTTTCTCCGTAGATTTCAAATTATGCAGAAACATGCTTAAAGGAAACCAAGAGTATTAAGACAGATATTGATAGGTAGAATATGTGAAATATGGTTATATTTGACACACTGTTCACTCCAAAATGTTAAAACAAAAAGAAGACAGGATAATCTAACATTATTTTTCTCAAGATACAGGATTTGAATCCAGGCTTTTCAATAAAAATGCTGCCAATATTTGGAACTACTTTAAAAGTCACTATTTTGTCATCTGCATTTCTGCCTTTTATCTCCCTTCTCTGGAATCATGTATGATGCAATTATAAAAGCAAAAACCCTGACATTCTTAAGTGCAAAGAATGAGATTTGAGAATAAATCTCCTATATCTTCTACTGAGATAAAGAGTAAACCTATTTTATGTTGTTCTTCTTTTCTTCCCAGTTTAGGTTTTTTTTTTTTTTTTTTTTTTTTTAAGAAAGGAATCCTAGAGAAGGGAGCACCAAGTAAAGGGTGTTGGGAGGATCCTCCCAGGATGGGAGATGCATGCTGAAAGTAGACTATAGACTGAACATGATTGCCACTCAATGCCTCTTTTGCAAAACATAACACCCCAAGGGAGAGAGAGAACAAAAGGAAATACTGCCACAGAGGCAGGGTGGGATGGGGGAGGAAAGAGGGGTGGGCAGGATACTGGGATCAGTGGTGGTGAAGAATGAGCACTGGTGGAGGGATGGGTACTCGATCACTGTATTACTGAAACCCAAGCACAAAAAATTTTAAGTCTACAACTGTACTTCATGGTGTTTCATTAATAGTAAAGTAAAGTAAGTAAAGGCCCTCCCGTTGATCGTCGATTTGCTCGAGCAGGCCCAGTAACGTCTCCATTGGAGACTTTGTTGTTACGGTGTTTGGCATATCTCGGTAGCTTGCCGGGCTCTCCGAGAGGGGCGGAGGAATCGAACTCGGGTCAGCCATGTTGGCTGCGTGCAAGGAAAACGCCCTACCGCTGTGCTATCGCTCCAAAAAGGGGGGATCCATTTTCCACAAATGAAGACTACAATGCAAGGAATATGTTTCTACTGCTATTATTTAATGTCCTGGTGTATAATCGTTCTTGTCCTGTGCCTCCAAAACCCTGGAACAGTGCACATCCAACTGAATACTGCATATGCTCTCCTGTTGTTCTCCTGGCCTCGCATGCTGCTGGCACAATGCCCCTGAACTTTCTGTGTCCAGCTCACTAGTCCTCCAGTTGGAGCAAAAGTCAGGTGAGGATTTCCAAGGACTCTGACATGCTCCAAGCTTGGTCAGGAAAGAGTTTCTCTGCTAACCAGTCACATTCTCGCTCATTCTTGAAAACTTGGTTGAAGAGTCATCTTTTCTAAGAAGATGCTCATTCCCCCAAGATTTGCTTCTCTCTTCATTGTGTGCAATATTCTTTGCACACAACCTTTACAATACTTGTAGTAATATTAGGTATAATTTTTTAGTAGTTTTTCTAGAGGACATTCTGCATTTAGCATTTTTAGTAACTACATGGAGATTAAATTTCAGAACTTTTTACTCTCAGCAAGCTAGAGAGAATGACCTAGAGAGTGCAGTTTCATATACTACATAAATAGAACTATTTTCAAAACTAAGTATAGGGGGCTTAAGAGATACAACAGAGGTTAAAGCCTTTTTCTTGCAAACAGTCAACCCGAGTTCAATTCCCAACATCCCATATGGTCCTCTAAGCCCCACCATGAGTGACTGCTAACAAAAGGAGTAAGCCCTGGGCATTGCTGAGTGTGGTCCAAGTAAGATTAATAAAATAAAAAGCTGCTAAACAAAATAAAAACATTACTTATTACAGAAAAGAAATACGCACAAAGATTTTTGTACTTATTGTCTCATTTTTCCTTTTGAATCTTAAAATTTTTCTACTACATTTAAAAATGATTCTAGGGACTGGAGCGATAGCATAGCGGGTAAGGGCATTTGCCTTGCACGTGGTCAACCCAGGTTCGATTCCCAGCATCCCATATGATCCGTGGAGCACCGCCAGGAGTAATTTCTGAGTGCAGAACCAGAAGTAACCCCTGAGCATTGCCGGGTGTAACCCAAAAAGAAAACAAACAAAAAACTAATCTATTATGGTCTGTGTCTATCTGTGTTTAATATATTTACAGATACTTTTATTTACATTTATGATAATCATAACTCAAGGAATGTATACGCAAAAATACCTTACAACAGCAGTGACATTACTGTTTGTGTCACGTTTTCAAATTAATGAGAAATTCAATTATAACAGAAAGACAAATAACATCTATAATAAACACTCCTTATGGGACTTAAATGCTATTTCCTCTGTGCATCAACAGCAAACCTATGTAAAGAACACAGCTTACCAAAAAGATGGTAACATAATTCATACTTTGTCAGAATGAACAGGTAAGGAACTGTATGTTTTATGCCATGTGTTTAACTCCAAAGAACTGTTATTAAGATTTATTTTTACTATGTATTTATGTAACTAACAATACAGTAACGTGGACATATAACCTGGGCCCTTCTGTATTTCAGGCTAAGGAAGTTAATATGCTTAGTCCCAAATTTAATACATCATATATACATATATATGTATAGTATTTTATTATGGCTTTAGAGTAAATTCTAATTTATTGTTTCAGAAACCTTCCCCAAGTGAAATTTTGTTGTTAAAGCGATTCACTGGTAAAATTCTTTGGTAAAATTTTTTGGTAAAATTCTTGTCATATTCCTAACTTGCTTTATAAATACAACTATCTTTGTTTATTTTGTTTTGGGGCCACAAACTAGCTGTATTCAGGGTTTACTACTGGCTCTGTGCTCAGGGATCACATCTGGCATTCGGGGCCTTGGGAAAGGAACTATATATGATGCAGGTATTGACGTTGGGTTCACAGCTTGCAAGGCAAGAACCTTACCCACTGAACTACCTCCATGGCCCATAGACTGTCTTTAACAAGTTTTTTTTTGTACTCCAGAAAATAAAGTTTCCATTGTGTGCTAGAGAAACAAATCAAAATAATTTCCAGATACATAAAGAACTAAACATAAATAAACACATCACATTACATGAAAAACATTAAGTCTATTTGAATATTTACCCAAGTACTAGTGATAGACTTCTTCTCCCCAGGTTTACTGTATAATAATAGCCAAACCTTATGAGACATTTCAAGTGCAAAGCATGCTGATATGATTTTGAGATATTATGAAGTAACTGATCTGATTTATAGATATTATGAAGTGATTACCACAAGAGATTTCCTTATGTGAAAAATAAGTAGGAAAGAAAAGACAGTAATAGATAATTAAAAAGCAAAGTTATTGTGTGTGTGTTTGTGTGTGTTTAAATGTAACATGCAGAACTAAAAGGCACATATCAAAATTTAGTGTAAATTAATTATGAAGTTTTATTTACTTATGTTTAGCAAAGATTTCTTTCAATACATATTATTTCAGTAAGAGCATAATAAGAGGGAAAATTTAATACAAGCTGTACAAGTTATCCACTGGTATAATTGTTTCATGACGGAATTAGATTAATATGTATTGCATTTTAAATACATTTGACCAAATGAAAGAGTCACAGGCTTTGAAACAAATGCAATCTATATTCCAAATTCTTATTAGCTACTACCCATATAATGATCCAGAGTATTTCTGCAAATATGAGTAAATGAAATAATTTATGGATTTAGAAAGGGCAGAGGAGGGAAGGGTACGAGAGAAGTAAAGAACAGTTACAATTCTACAGGATAAACTATTTTTTTCAAATACAAACTATGAAACACAGTTTGAATTTTTACAAAATCTTACAAAACACAGTTTGTAAGAAATTTCTTAACATCGTTTATCAGCACTTTCCATGTCTGTAATGTTGAATTACAATTTTATTTTTACAGTTTCTTGGCCTAATCTTTCATTATCCCTTCATCATTTCATGACTTCAGGAATCTCATTTACTAGCTTATTGTTAAATTCAGTGACAGGTTGTGATTCACTAAAGTTCACATCTTTATTATACTTAGCCTTTCAATAGGAATATTTTCCTAAGAGCACCTTTCTAATGAGTTACACAGCCCAAGTGCAATCTTTTCTTCTAATTTCTCAGCAATTATCTATACAATACACAGTAAATGGGGAACCAGAAGTAATTTGGTTTTGTGAGCCTGGAGTGAGCTGAATACTTTACAAACATCTTCCGAGTAGAATGAGAATTGTATTATCACTTCAATTTGAGGCAAGAGAGAGCCTCAGATTGAAGGCAGTAAAGATGTGACTGTTGAGCCCACACTTTCTTCAGTCTCGTGGAGTTAAGAAGGCATGTTCCAGTCAAACAAGTTTCTGCTATAGCGATTAACTTTTTCCAGAGAACACCCAACACCATTACTACCATGCTCATGACCTTACTACAATTCGTGCCTGGACCTTAGCCTCTCCTCTTTATGCCTGCTGGAAAGGGCTTCAACTCCTCCCATGCTCACTTCAGCAATTTTCAGATGAACCCTGACTCATTTATGTGTGCCCCAGTGAACACAAAACACAGTGCCCAGTAAGCATGCAGTAGAAGTGTTTAAAGATTTGCTAAATTCCTTAATGATGACTGTCATGTGCATGCATGCACTCTGAATTCTATGTTGTCACTCTCTATCCCCTACACTGAGGCAGGGACCCCTCCCCATGCTCTTTTCAGAACTCCCATAAAGTTCAATGCCTGTTTCCATTCAGTTACACACAAATATGGACATAGGCATATGAGAAGCTCAGAAATGCAGAATCCAACATGGATGAAGAGACAGATGCCCAGAAAGGAGGTGCTGCTATGCTGGAGACCACAATGCTTTTAGTTAATGAGCATGGGTGATGAAGCCAAGACAGAAAATAATATTCTTTCCATTTTCTCATTTTTCCTTTGGCTTACTAATAGTTCAGAACCTTAACAAACAACAGGCAAGTTTAGTAATTTACCCAAATCCTGTCTACATGGGGTCTCAGTGTGCACTTGAATGCTATTTAGAACACGACAGAAATACTTTGTTCTGTGCCATCCGTATTCTACATAATCTGTCTCATCTTCACATGTACCCTAGAAATAGATTTAAGTAGTTCTTATGTGTTCGTAATTACAGAGCAGAGGACACCAAGCAGACTAGAGAAATTACATAAAGTATTTTTTATTGCCTTGGAAACAGATCACTAAGGACATATTTAACAAAATTTTTTACAATAACTTTTAATGTGATATTAACCCTAAAGAAACTTTTTATGAATCTGATGTTACATTTTCAACTATAATTTGGTTTAGTTTTGGCAATGGTAATATGAAGACTATCATAACATAGGCTTATTAAAATATTTTTCATATGCAAATGAAGTCTCTGAATTAAAAATACAATGTGGGATTCTCTAACAATTTTATAAAAAAGAAGTTTTTGATAAAATTGTTAAAGCCATGGTTTATAATTCTAATACCTTTGATATTTTTTTATTTATATTTTTTGCTTTTTTGGTCACACCGGCAATGTACAGGGGTTATACCTGGCTCAAGCACTCAGGAATTACTCCTGGCAGTGCTTGGGGAACCATATGGGACACTAGGAATCAAACTTGGGTGGGCCACATGCAAGGCCTTACCCGCTGTACTATCGCTACAGTCCCTACCTTTGATACCTTTTAATGTATAAAGTTTATCTGAAATTATGAATAGATCAAATGATATACAAATACTTCTAAATAAGTCTAAATTCAATATATAGAATTAGGCAAGTATAATTACAAATTTTAAGTATTCTTACCTACTAAAATCCGACTCTTCTTGATGCCACTTTTTACTTCCTCATCAATCAAGTCTGTAAGCATCCCGCACATTCCATCAATGGACTCGAGGTGCTCGGGGCAGTCCATAGATATTTTTAACCTGTCAAACCATACATTGGAGATCCCTCCTTTCATAGGTGTGTAAGGCCTGTGGAGGGAAAATTTTTTTAAATGTCAAATGGAGTACTAAAATGTATGTTTTACTTTCAATATGTTAGCATTTTTAATAATTTTCTTTAAGCTTAAAAACTTTCTTCTTGAAATCCGAATGGCAAAAATGTGCATGAGAAAATGCTCTACATCACTAATCATCAGAGAGATGCAGATCAAAACAACAATGAGATATCATTTAACACCACTGAGACTGGCCCACATCCACAAGAATAAAAGCAACCAGTGCTGGCGCGGATGTGGCGAGAAAGGGACCCTCCTTCACTGCTGGAGGGAATGACGACTGGTCCAACCCTTTTGGAAAACAGTATGGACGATTCTCAAAAAAATTAAAATTTGATCTCCCATTTGACCCAGCAATACCACTCCTGGGAATATATCCCAAAGAGCAAAAAAGTATAGTCGAAGTGACATCTGCAATTGTTTGTTCATTGCAGTACTCTTTACAATAGCCAGAATCTGGAAAAACCTGAGTACCCGAGAACAGATGACTGGTTAAAGAAACTTTGGTACATTTACACAATGGAGTACTATGCAGCTGTTAGAAAAGATGAAGTCATGAAATTTACATACAAGTGGTACTACATGGAAAGTATCATGTTAAGCAAAATGAGTCAGAAAGAGCGGGATAGACACAGAAAGATTGCATTCATCTGGGGAACATAAAGCAACAAAATGGGAGACTAACACCCAGGAGTGGCTGAGATTAGTACCAGGAATTTTGCTCCATGACTTGGAGGCCAGTCACATGTGCTAGTGGAAACGGAAGCTCAGATAGAGAAGAAATCACCAAATAAAGGGTGTTGTGAGGATCTTCCCAGGGTGGGAGAAGCATGCTGAAAGTAGACTATAGACCAAACAAGATTGCCACTCAGTGCCTCTCTTGCAAAACACAGGACCCAAAAGAAGAGAGAGAGAACAAGGGGGAATGCCCTGCCACAGAGGCAGGGTGAGATGGGGGGATGGTGGGTGGGAGGGATGCTGGAACCCGTGGTGGTGGAGGATGGGCACTGGTGGAGGGATGGGTACTTGATCATTGTATAACTGAAACCCAAGCACAAAAACTTGTAAGTCTATAACTGTATCTCATGGTGTTTCACTAATAAAAAAATAAATAAATAAATAAAAACTTCCTTCTTTATAATGCTTTCACTCTCCTATGCTTCTAATGATTCCATCAGTATATTCTGATGGTTAATCATTTCATTTTAAATACCTTTTAGATTCATATATTCTTCAGAAAATACCAATTAAAAAGGGAATTTTATACATACTTATAAAATTATATACACAACATGTGGGAATTATATACATATTATATAAATATGTATATATGTTATCTATTTTTTTCTGATTAATTTAAATACATGACTAATCAGGTGTACTATATTTTTCAAATTTCTGAAGGGATCAATACTTAATAGTAAGTATTCAAAGATAACTGAATGTCTGCACAAAAAAATCCTCATTACCTAGTGAGGGAAAACAAGATCCCTGGCCCCCAAGTATTCAAGTATTTTAAAAATATTACTAATTTCTAACTTGTTTTCTTTTTTGATTTAGGGATACATTCAGCTGTGCTCAAGGCTTACTCCCAGCTTTGCTCTCAGGAAATTGCTCAGGAGACCGTATGTGGTGATAGGAATAAAACTTAGATCAGTCACGTGCAAGGTAAGTACCTTGCCCACTGTACTACCTCTCCAAGCCTAATTTTCAGGTCTTAAGCATAAAATGTGTGTTAATCCATCAAGAGATATTTTGATACCATCCAGACACATTACTCTTAGAAAGGGGTGTTACAATGAAAAAAATTAAGATTTGGAACTATAGGTAAAAAAATTATTTTTGCAAAAAAATAAGAATTTAATGGGATATAAATAGCCTTTGGAAGTAATAATCAGATAAATATCTCATACAGTTAGAGCCTTCCTGGTCTCAAATGGAATGCATTTTCAGATTGGCAAAGGCAGTATATTGTAAGATAGTCTAAGCTGGGTGTTCTGCTGAACAAGGGAGATTTTAAAGGATGCTTATTGTTGAAGTATGAGACTGGCCGGGTGACTCTTACTTTAGACATTGTATGGGCTGGCACAATAGCACAGCAAGTAGGGTATTTGCCTTGCATGCGGCCAACCCGGGTTCGATTCCTCTGTCCCTCTCCAAGAGCCCGGCAAGCTACTGAGAGTACCTCCGCAAGGCAGAGCCTGGCAAGCTCCCCGTGGCATATTCGATACACCAAAAAACAGTAACAACAAGTCTCACAATAGAGACATTACTGGAGCCTGCTTGAGCAAATCGATGAACAACAGGAGGACAGTGCTACAGTGCAGTGCTACTGTTGTCTATTTATATTGAGGCTGTCTGTTGAGATGTCTGCCTATCTCATAGTAGTCAAGATGTTCTGTTTTACCAATTACTATGACTTTGGGAGGGGTCTTGCGTGCAGTCTGATCCTAGTAAAAGCAAATGAAGAGGGAAAAACCCATCTCAGGATATGGCTACAGGCAAACACTGGAATATAGAAGACAAACATGGAAAATGGAGATTTCCTACAGAGGAGAGACACAAGAGTCCAACTGAAAATAATGCTCTTCTCTTGCTAAATTGCTTCCTCTGTATGTGACTGAAAATTAGGATCCTTGGGATATCTGCATATTCCCAGAAAATATAACAAGGGTTCAATAGTATTTTCTGTGATGCATCAGAAGTTAAAGCAATGAAGACCACAGAGGCAGAGCACACCCTCCACCATCTCCCTTGCCCCATCTTGCACTCAGCACACATAAGCACCCTCCAAAGTCAGCGAAGCCAAATGATCATAGGAACTCTTGACTCATTCTCTCACCTGCTGCATCCTGAGAATCCCTGCCCCCTCAATGTGGAATCTGCTTCCCAGAAGCACCCAGTCCTGAGGACTTGTGACTGTGCTAATGGGGACATAATTGTGCCCATCTTGTTCTGCACTGCTCAGTCACTTCACAATAAACCAAGGAGAAAGGAAGACTACATGTGGGAGAGTTTCTCAGAGAAATATGGAAACAAGAAAGGTGCTCTGACTCAACTCAAATTTAAGAAGAACTCATCCACAGAGAATCTTTCATTTACTAAAAACTAGACCCATTGCACAAAACTTTGTTAAATGTCTTTTGAAATATGAAGGTATATCATAAAAACCACTATAAATCAGTCCATAAAATCTTAACATTTTCTCCTGGTTTCCTAAGGCATGCATTTTCTTGTGTGTGTGTGTGTGTGTGTGTGTGTGTGTATGTTTTGTGTTGTTCTGATGTTTCTCACATAAATCTTGTTCCTATTTTGTGCCATTCCTCTGCTCTCTCACACTCCCCACATCCCCTCCCTCCTGAATGGCATTTATGATCTGGAACACATCCTCTAATGTGGGAGAGCCTTGCATGTGAACAGTTAAAACCTGCATCATTGCAGCAGGACTTTAAGAGCATCGTTTGCTCTTCAGGTATTACCTATAGGCCCCTGAAAACCTCTGGATGCATAGCTGGAAAGAAACTGAATCATCAGGCCTGTATTACTGGGCTGGACAAGATGGAGAAGGGAGCTGAGATCTGAACATTGGCTGTGTGACCCCTATTCAAAACACAACTTAAACCCCCATGCTTCCTCTTTTATGAAGACAAACTTTATCCTCATTACGCCTTTAATTTTATAACTCTAAATTTTCTAGTCTCTCTCAACCCTGGTTCTATAAGATGATGGATAGTGGCCCAAGGCCAACAGCCTAGATTGTATAGAATGAATGGATTACCCTGGATGTATGCAGAGTGGCCCTGTTTGACTCTTTGATGAGAAAAAAAGAAAAAAAAAAACATGACTCAAGTCATTTCTTGGATTCTATAGTTCAAGTGAGGAACTCTGGCTAAGATATTCGATTCTATCCCACTCATCAACCATTCTGGTTGATTACCCTTGTCCCATCACAAGTGGTCTCAGGGATTCTATGAAATTGACTGAGCATACCCTCACCTTACCGCACCCAGTCACAGTTACCTTTCACATCTCTGATTCCTACTTTCAGCATTTATTCATATCTCTCTGGTGTCCAACACAAATGAGTGGATCTCACATGAACAAAGTCAGTAAGAAGGACACAGAAAAATACCAGATGTCCTCAGTAATCTGTGGTATATAGGATTTATTGACAAATAAATGAACGGTATTAAAGGTGGTAGAACCCTTTAGCCCTAGAGTACAGAAATGAAAATACCAGGGAGAGAGAGAAAAATGAATGAAAAGTTGAAGCAAGAAGAGGTAAAAGGGAGGTAAAAGGGACAAGGGCTGGGCTATGGACTCATGCAGAATGTAAAGGTATCTCCCTATGTCTAAACCACTACAGTCAACATTACTGTAAGTGTGGGACCCAAACTACAATAATTCAACTTAAAAAAGTATGCCTGATAAGAAGACAGTTTGTGGATGGGAGGGAAACTGGAGTCATTAGTGAAGGGATACTGATGCAGCTGTGGAATTGGAGTTGAAATGTATGGCTAAAAATCTATCATCAACAATCCAAATCAGAGTGCCTAAGTTCCTAAAGAAAAGAAAAAGGGAATACAAGCCAATCACCTAGTTAACAAACTTTATTGTGAACAGTCAAATAATTCCGATAGTACATGTGAGATTTTTTTCTAACTACCACTGCATTATTTGCATTATTGTCAGGGAATCCACATTTTGTGGCACAAATTAGAGAGCAAAATGTTGCTTCCCCAATTTTCCCATTATAATGTTCTCCCAGCTCTCTGTGGGTACCAAAACCTAAAACCCTACACCAGCTCTCAGCTCTCTACCATGATGCTTACAGAGCTCCCCCATCCTGCAGTCCTGGAGGCTTCTGATCTAAGAAAGGGCCTGGCTCACGAGAGGTACACAAATTGGAATCAGAAGAAAGGAGGCATTCAGGTGCCCGGCCCCAGAAGCACTGCTCAGGATGAACTCTCTCAA